CGAAAACTCATACAATAAAATAATATTTAACAAATTTAAAATTTATTTATTATAACTCTTTCTTATAAACTGTGATCTCTGTATTATACTAAAAAATAATACTATAAGATTCACATTCCTTGATTAATCATCTCAAAAAGTTGTACTTTTTAAAATTTTAAAATGGAATTAAAAAAAAGCTAATCGTGCTGCACGCAAATCGTATGGGGTTGTAATCGGGTGCGACAGCCGCAATATTTTGTATCTTAGGAGAAGAATGATTGGGTCACGTTGCAAGGTGGCATAATTAATTGGATAAATAAGGGCATGTGCACTTGAAGTTGAATTTATTGAATCTTTTGACCATTGACTGGGATTTCGTTTGAACAAGTCGAGCTTTGACCAAGGGTCAATAACTAGAGCTTGACCGGGCTTTGGTGAACAAAGATAACAGCACTAATTATTTGGGATTTTTTTTAAAAAGGAATTATTTATTTGAGAATTCTATTTGTTCATTCCATGCACACGTTAAATAATTAAAATTAACAGAAAGAAAACAGAGGATTTTTTATTTATTTATTTAAGTAGTATTTTTAATTTTGTAAATGTGCATCTATCCATATATTAAATTAATCTTAATCATTGACCAACCGACCTATTGATTTTCTTCCAATTTTTTCTCCATTTTTTAATTTTCCCTTTACTTTTCGTCTCAGCCAGTCACAATCCGAATTGATAACGTTAGTCTAATTAATAACATTGTCAACTCTACTTTAGCGTGACATTAATTTTGGTGACGTGACTAAACCTTTTTTTTTTTTTAATTTGACAATTTCATTCTATGCAAGATTTAAGTGACGTTGACATTGATTTTTTTATGCCACGTAAGGTGGGCCATTCCCCCCTAATAAAAAAAATAAAAACCTAAAAATCTATTCCCAAAAAATTTGCTAACCCTAACCCTTGAAAACCTTGTTTTAGCTCAAATGAATGCAAACGAATAAACATTTTACTAGTTCCAATTTTCTATAAATTAATTTAGGAAATTATAAATTGAACAAATCAACATAGAATTGGAACAAACTCATACAAGTTATACATAGGACTTGACCAATTAAGGGAAATTGTTAGTAGAATTGGATTAGTGTTGAATTTATAGCTCCTCCACAATCCATATTGATATCAATAACAGCTGGAATGCTTATTCACTTTTTTTTCTTTATAAAAATTTAGATTTTATCAATTAAAAATTATATTTTTTTCCTTTTTTTTTTCTAATGAAAACCTAATTAAGTAAGACTTAAGAGTAACCACAAATGTAAAGGCACATTTAAAAAATTTAAACTGAATTAACAAATACAATTGTGAATTGACATTAACTCAATCCCAACTTTTTTTTTTCTCATTTTGGTCCACAAAAGTTTAGGGTAAAAGAGGATTCTTCAAATCGAGATCATGACAAATCGTAAGTTTCAAAAAATATTATATTAAATTTATAAATTATAAAAAAATTATTGACAAAAAAAATTCTTAACTAAATTTTACAAGTAATTTTTTTTCTTGCTGCTTTTGGATCGTAACCTTAATAAATGGAGTGTAAAAAGAAATTGAGCCTATGATGTTGGTCTTATTATGGACTATGTTGGGCTTTCACTAAAATTTTGAGCAAACCCTTCTCCTATTAAAGCCCATCCAATAACTAATTTTTTAAAATATATAATCAACAGTCTTGACACTACATGAAATTTTACAAAATATTCAAAAGAGGCAAATGTCTGTAGAATACTAAACTTAATTTTAATGATTAAAATTTAATCTTAAATTAATGATTAAAATTTAATCTTAAATAATTTTAATGATTAAAAGAAATTTATTTTTGATACATTATAATGTATAAATTTTATATACTGATAGTAACTCAAATGATATTATTTCATTAATGAGTAAATATCAAATTTTAAAATAAATATATAAAAATAATATTATTTAAAAAAAATTCATTAATGAAATGGTATTATTTGATTAATAGATGATATCATTTAATTCATTATTAATATATAAAATTTATATATTAATAATATATTAAATATAAACATTAAAATAATCTGCAAAAAATAAATTTTTAGATTCCCATATTATATATCTCTATAGTTAAAACTTCGAAATTCTTTTGAAGAGTTTGAGTTGGAGTACTACAAATGAGAGTGAGGTTTGTAGTATAGAGCTACATTGCCTTGTCTAGCTCAATCAGTTATATAAAATTTAAAATTTATCAAAATTTCATATTTATTTAAAGATGTAATATTTGTTAATAAATTGTTTGAGTTGGTAAAAAAATAAATATTTTGCTTATAAGATTAATATTCAATTTCAACAGTCAACAATCTTTTCTAATGAATAATTTATAAATTTAATGTAAATTTATTGAGACTTACGATATAACCTGATTTTAAAATGAAATAACATTTGAATTTAAATTATTCAGTTGATTTATATAATTATTTTTAAAAGATAAATAAATTTAAAATTTGAATTTTAATATTTATAATTTTTATTTTCAAATTGCAAACTCTTATATAAAAAAAATTCCCTCATTTAAACTTTTAATTATATAAAAAAAACATAACCTTTCTCTATTTCTTTCGTATCCCATCTACTTGATCCTTTATGTCATCTCATTTATGTTGCTTTTAGTGTTTTTGTGTGTGTGGAGGAGCTTTGACTATGCTTTCTTTTTGGATATAGAAGTATAGTTAGACTCGAAAATTGGCATACTCTCCATATTTTTTTTAATTTTATTAATTTCCAACGATAATTTACATGTCAATTAGCTTATAAAAGCCCTTTTAACTTTTGTTTTTAAATTATTATAAAAGGAAAAAAGATGCCAATGATCATACGAAAATGGGTCGTCAGTTCACTGACTAGCGCTCATGCATGCCTGGCCTTTCAATGTTGGATCTTACGTCACCAGGTTTTTTATGACGTCATTCACCCTACGAAATTAAACAAAAAAAATAAATCAGTAGGAGTTAATAAAATTAATAATATTTTATTCTTTTTTTTGAATAAAAAACTCAGAAAAGAATCCAACTATCACAATTTGGGATTTGGAAAAAAGAAAAAGGCAAAAGCAAGAAATATTCTCACGTCTACCTAGGATTTTCTTTTCCATTTATATTTTTCCCTTTTGTCAAATAAAGAACAAAAAAAAAAAGAAAGAGTAAAAGGTGTAATTAATATAAATCACGAAGAGTAAAATAAATTTTTTCCTGATCAAAGGAAAAAAAAAGAATGAATAAAATTGTCTAGATGCCATAACAAAGTGATAGCTGATAAATCCATGAAATTCTTGTAAATGTTCAATCCATTTCTTTTTTCTTCGTAGATCCCATTTTTTAATATGCTGATACAGTGACCAGTTAACTTTATTTTAAACAATGAGAATATCATAATTTTTTTTTTCTGTAAATTAGTTAAACGTTTAAAAGTTCAAATTAATAAAATAATTATGAAAAATCTGAATGGGGTCTGTCTAATCTGATACTGTAATGAGATAGGTATCCTGTCTGTATGACCTAAAAAGTCAAAAGCTTCTTCACCTAAACAAAAAATTATAATCATGCATGTTGTAAAGAGACAAAACCCTAAATCTCCATTATTTTCCATTTCCTTGTCACGCCTGATAGCATTTTTTTTCTCCAACCACGTAGGTGGGACTTTTTGCCTTACAGCTGTGAGAAAGGACTTCTCTCATTCTCATTAGTTGCTCTGCCTCCCATAACCACCGTTGGATTTGTCTGAAATTCCCCACATGCAAAAGTCCAAGGTATTCAATGGTGGTGATTTAAGGTGCAGGTCACAGCAAAGAGAGGGTAGGAACATTTTAGGTTTCATTTTGGGACCCATGTTTCATGTTCTTGTCTGGGGACAAGTGAAGTTTCAAATAGGTGGGTGTTGACCTAAGGAAAAGAAGACAATCCCTTGCCCAGTAGGCAGTAGATATTGAAGAATTTGAGCTAAAGTTAAACAACCACAGTGACATTAGACCAATGATTGGAGCATTTCATGAATTTTATAAGATACCCATTTTCCCAGTATCCCTAAAATTCTAGTAGTAGTAATTGTTTAGTTTATTCACAATGGAAACAGCAAAATTTAGATCAGTGGCACAGTAGCAGGATCAAGCAGAAGATATAATTGCTGTACTAATGTTTGCCACTACGTACCTAACACCATTTTTGACGTTGTTGCAGCTATGTTATTTCCTTCTCCATTATCATAAACAATTCGGGCAGATTCAGCAACAAGAAGCATACGGAGTTTCACAGTCAGAAAAATGAAAAATACCTTTGAATTTACAACTTATTACAGCCCGAATTGATGCAAGCTAGGGACATGCATGCCTTACACGACATGGCAATATTATAGCAGCTTTCAGAGATCCAGAATTTTGACATCATTGGATGACTCTTGGATTTATATGCTTTTCTGTGTCATTAATAAGGCAAGGACAACAATGGACTCACTCATTCTATCTACTGATTGCTTGAAGTTCTTTGTATAAAACTAAAAGGCCTAAAAGAACATAAGAATATATCCTCAATTTAACAAGTAGCAAAGATGCTGTTCTTATCTTGTTTCTATTATTATCTAATTTATAACCAAGCTTCGACCTTTCTCAGGTCAATGTTCTCAGGCCTACGGAAATAAGTAGGTTTGATTTCTTGGCATGTTGGATGATTTTGAACCGAAGCTGAATCTGGCCAAGCACACTTGCCTTCAAACCTGGTCAAGGTTCATAATGATACAGGGAAAGCTAGCATTGGCTTTGGCTGGTGTCTTTGTCAATCAAAAATTGGAAACAATAATTTTGGATGGCTTTTCCTTTTTCTTCTCTTTTTTCTTCTATATTCCATTTCTTTTTCCTTCTTGTCCTTTTTTAACCCTTCTTTTTTAATTGCTTCGCCTTCACGTTCCATTTGATTCAAAGACCAAATCGATTTCTCATAAAAGTAGAAAACTAATTTAAGCATCAAAATCCAACAAATAATAGTAACCATAATGTGTAAAAAGTGGATTATATTACATTCATGCATGATTCATTCATCCCTCCTCCTATACAATTTTCAAACAAAAGCATGAGCTATGCTGAAGTAAAAGCAAACAGTATCAGAATTCAATTGACTAAAATTCCTTAACCTTTGGTTCTAATAATAGTAATCGTGCCTCTCCCTTGAGTGTGTATTTTGGTAAGGGCCACCACAGCTTTTCCAGAAAGGCCAGGACCATCAGCAGATACGCATGGCCTGTAAGCAAAGTCCCCCACTGGGTGCCTTACTGGCCTTGTTGGTGGCATTAGAATCCTTTCATTAATGTCGTTTAGGGTCATGTCGCCTTCAATCCCTCCAGGCTTCACTAATGCAAATGGATACACAACCCTTGTTATCACCCTTTTCTTCTTCTTATCATCACTTCCTTAAACATATCAAAAACTCAATGTTACTTAGCTACAATAACAACAACATATAAAATACTAAGGATTTCATTTGTATTATTGGAAGAGAATTTACCAGAAGAAGATATGGGGTCAGTGGAAAATTGGTTGTCTTTGTTAAAAAAGGATTTGGACTTGACTGATCCTTTGTAAGAAGAGGATGATGCATCAAGAGCCTCAGGGCTGCATGATATTGCTTCTTCTGGTGTTTTTATCTCTGTAACAATGTTTGCTTCTTCACTGCTCACAGATGTGCTCATTGGTTCTTCTAAAGTATATGGTAATTAAAAGAAAAAAAAAACACAAAATTAAACATGCTAGAACATTATTAAATGATTTTAAATGATTAGATGGGTTAAGAGTATATAATTTTATATGTAATGATGTAAGTAAAAGAGCAAAAGAATAGTTAAGTCATTACCTGAAACTCCATTAATGCTTGTTAATTGGCTCATGCAGCTGAAATTCTCAGAAAGGCCCCAGTTGTAGCTAGAATTCCAGTAGCTCTGAATAATAGTAACAGTGAAACCAGTCGGTATTTCTTTGAAATGGTTTGATAAAGCTAGCCAAGTTCAGAACATTATTTATTTGAAAAAAGAAGAAGAAAACAGTCCAAAATTACCATTGCAAGATCATTTAAGCCATTGGGTTGATCATGATCACTGTACAACAGGCGTCTTCTTTTGGACCGTTCACTGAATTCAAGTAAGGCATCTTCCAGGTACCCAGAAGAGAGATCAGAGTCTAGATGTGGAAAGAATGGGGCAGTTGCATCCATAACTGCATTCACATGCAGAAGAACAAAATGGGGTTAAGCCCCTTTTAAACTAAAACCAGACTTCAAACCCATATCCAAGAAAAAAAAAAATCCCGGACAACAACAGTGAAAGAACTCAAAGACAATAAAGAGAGAAAGAGTTATGTACCTAAAGACATGTCCGCGTTGAGAACTCCAAGGTTTTGAAGATCCCAACCTAGGGAAGGGCTATGGAGACTGCGGATAGTGTAAGCCATAGAGTGAAACTCACCCATGTTTGTTCGGGTTGATGTGTCTTATAAATACCTAAAAATCATGAAAAAAAAAATGATTCAACCTACAGTAATTGTTTCATTGGGTTGAGCTTTTGAAAAAAAAGTGGGGAGGGTGAAAATTACATGGTTGTAGAAGGAAGCAGAGAGTCAGTCAACGGCAATGGAGAGACAAAAGTATGTGTTTCTTGGGATATGGAAAAAATATTATTATGGGATCAAACTTTTTTTCAATTTTTTTTAATTTTTTAATTTTTTAATTTTTTGGGTTTCTGTTCTTGTGCCTTGCTTGGGATTGGGATTTATATGTGGGGTTTGGTATATGGGGGACTAAATAATTGCAAAAGTTATGATATCATATGCTGTTGTTTTTCATGTAAAAGCAAAGGGATTGTTTGAGATTAAAAAAAAAGGGACAAAAAACAGGGCTAGACATAATTCAAATTTCAGCTTTTTCTTTTTTCCCTTCCTTCTGATATGGTTACCAACCGTTTCTCCTTTTGGGAACTTTTCCTTTTATTTTTGCCTAGCGCATTTTCAACATTTTGCCTGTAAATTTATTATTTTAAACATGATATAATAATATAATATAAAAATTATATAATTTAAAATTTTAATAAAAATAAAAAAATTATTTTATATTTAATATATCAATAAAAATTATAATCAATAATTTTATATTTTATACATATTTAATATAAAATAAATACGATAGAACACAAATTATCATATTTGATTTTCGATAAAATACTTAAATGAAATTCTTTAGATAAAGTTCATAAAGTTTCTAAATAAAAATGATTCAATCAAAATTTTACTAAAAAATCAAAATCTATAGTTTAATAGCATTCAAAGAGAAGATCAATAATATATATAAAAAAAAATGAAAACTATCATTTATAACTCAAATTTAATCCGTACTTATTCATTAATAAAAATTTTGTCAAAATTTTTACTATAAATGATCATCTAAAAAATATATCATAATTTACTAAAATTTTTTAAAATTTATACACTTTATTTATACATCATGAACTTTCAATTTATCAATTTTAATAAAAAAAATTATAAATTTTATTTAAAAAACATCATTTAAATATTTTTCTTTAATTTTGGACCTCTCATGTTAAGTTTAGAGTTTATTTATATCTTTGGCTCTCTGACTAAAAACCCTTTAGTTGTTTTTTTTTCCCAATAGATCCAATGGATGAATGTAGGGTCCACTTCTTGGCATGCTTGTGGGGCCCATTGGTAATATGTAGCATTTCAGCATCAAGTAAGAAGAAGCAGCAGAAGGTGAAGCATCGATGTGGGAGAAAAGTGGGTCCAAACCTTTTTATTTTCTTTCATGGAGTTTGGAATTGGATGGTCCAAAAACTTTGTCTAAATGTGTGTTGCCCACATTGTATTTTGTGTGTGGAATTTCTGATTGATGTTTGATATGAAGGTGGAAAAAGCTTCTATGATGTTGGAATTTAAATATTATAGTTATTTATTTAAAAAAATAAAACTACATAGTTATTTGACGTTTTATCCATTTAAATTTTTTGAAAAAAATAACGAAATATTTTTTTATTTAGTATGGTTATATGACAATGATTTTTCCTCCTAGGATTAGCTATTTTTCTCTCAAAATGACGAAGAAATTTTAATTATAAGTATAAATATAATAAATTAAAATTGCAACAAAATTTTTTAAAAGTAATTATCAATTATAGGATTGGAATTTAATGTCTTCCACGTGATGCTCTAAATATATAAATAAGAAAATTCTTAAAAAAAGTTTAAAAGAAATTAAAATATTTTTTTTATCAAAAAAAAAAAAAAAGAATTGTTTTGTGTTGCAAAAAATATTGATTTCTGATGAGACGGTGGAAATGGGCCTGAGTTGGAAATTTTGTCTAATGCATTAATCAAACACAATTGAAAGGTAATGGCCCATTGACAGCTGGATTACACCCTTTTAATTAGTTTTAGTTAAAAAGTATTCAACTGTTGTGGGGGTTAATAATTGACACCTGGCTTTAAAGCACTGATTTATAATATGAAACAGACATTGCAATAATTATTTTGTTAGGACAACTAACAGCTACTTATGTCTTTATGAGACTGCTGAATTTGAATTCAGATCATAGCGAATTAAACAACTTATCCCATCCACTGAATTCTTCACTAAATTTATAGGAAAAGAATCACCACTTAATTACAATGAATGTACTCATTTGCCCAAAAGCAAAATATTTTGAACTCAATTTATTAATATAATTATTTATAAAATATAAATTTTAAAAATTTTAAATTTAAATTTTATCGTCTGTTATCATTTTTTATGTATAAAAAATATTTTTTATTTAATTTATATAATTTAATAAATTTAAAATTCAAATTTTAACACATGTAATTTATATTATTATCTCCAAACTATAACTTTTTTTACCAAAGAAATATTCCTATTACCAGCTAAGTTAATTTGTAAGAATTGTTTCTATAGAGGAATGTAATGATTGTTGAGTCCATACAACCGATGAAAAAAAAGTTTATAATCTAATAGTTTTGAGAATATTCTTCGATTGCATTTTAATAAGGGTTTTCAAAGAGAAAAAGAATGAGGTGAAGGGAATAAAAAGGGGAAGAAAAACAAAAGTGTCGAAGGCCCAAAATATGGTGATGGTCCTCTAAGCTAGGGAAAATATGAGTGAGGCATATTCTAACATTTAATTTGTGTTTTGATTGATGTGGGTTGAATTTGATGTTACCTCGTTTCTTCCTCTCAAATCACATTACATGAGATGATGCATCTCATATCTTATTAAAAAATCAATCTCTTTTTACTAATTATACATTATTTAATCAAATACAGTTTTTTTTCGATATATTCTTTAAAAAATTTGACTCATGCGAAGTCTTTAGCCAATTGAAGAAGAGATTTTGATAAAATTATCACATATGAAATTGAGTACAATTTTAAGAGGAAAATAACTCACTTGCCTCTCAAAAAAAAATGAAAAACATATTCAATATAATTTAATTGAATAGTTAAACTAATCCTTTAATGTTTGAAGAAACCCTCCACTTCAATTACTATTTTATCACGAAAAGCAAATATGGAATAACAAATCCAATCTTTCACTAATAAGAATTATTATTATTATATTTTTTTACATAATAATAATAATAATATAAAACAAAGGATTTCTTTAGAAAGAGTTGTTGCTTGTTGGGTAAAGTTTGATATAGTAGCGGTATCAGTAGTCACTAGATGAAGAGAGTCGCTCCTACAGTATGGATATGAATGCGATTGAAGAGCATGATGTTGGGAATATTGACTCAAATCTCATAAGAAATTTGTTTGAGATTTGTTAGAGATTTGTTTGGGATTTGTCAGATATTGCTTGATGGACAAGAAAACTTGCAAAAAAAGAATTTTAAGAGAAAGAGGATTCTTAATAGGTAAGTTTGACTTGCAAGAGAAGAATTCTAAAAGGAAATGGATTCTTAATAGGTAAGTTTGACTTACAAGCAAAGAATTCTAAGAGGAGAGGGATTCTTAATGGGCAAGTTTGTATGGTTATAAATAGGTGAAGTCTCTACAGGGTTTGATATGAGAAAAAGATGTAAGAGAGTTGTAGGGTTTTATGGGATAGAACCGTATAGGAGTATTGAGACTCTATGTCTTATGGGTGTGTATGTTTGTTTGTGAGTGGACTAGAGGAGACTGAGAGGGTCCACATAGGTATGATGTATGGGAGCATATGGGTATGTATTTGGTTATGTTGAAAGAGTGCACAAGGGTTTGGGTTTGTGTTTGTTCGGGTTGAGAATACTCTATAGGACTAGAGAAGATTGAGAGTGTCTTATGAGTATTGATTGTTGAATGAGGTTAATGATTTGATGTATGTTTGTAATTCTCTACAACTAGTGGATCTTATTTCTCATTCGTGGATGTAGGTCAGTTAGACCGAACCACGTTAAATTATTGTCTCTTGTTTGTTTGATTTATTGTTTGATTTCGTTTCCGCTGGTGTGATTGAATTGGAGCCTTTTAGCCCAACACATGATGGAAGAAAAATCTATTATTCATATTGTTTATTTTTGTCTAAATTACTTTTTTAATGCGATCAAGGCTATTTTTAATTTCATCTTAATTTAATTTTATTTTCACATAATTTTAAATTAAGATGTATTATTTTATATCAAATTGATACATTCAAAGTTTTATTCGTGAAATACTCTTTGCAAAAATTAAAGTAGATGAATTAACAAGAAAAAGGAGCTCATCTTTTTTTCAATTCAGCTGAAGCCTTTGTGGGTATCCAAATTGTTTCTTTAGTTAGGATTAACATATATGAAGGTTCATGTACAATTTAACAATTATAATTTGTCATTATTAACACAGTTATTTTATATAAAGTTCGTAAGGAAACATTTAATTTTTAGAATTTAAAGTTCAACTTGAAAGTCTTCAATGTAAAACTTAAGATTTATTAGTTATGAAATGAGAGCAAAATCTATGCATGTATGAGAGCGAGAAATTTATTTTTTGAAGTACTGATTTAATATCAAGTGAGCAATAAAACAACACTTGCTCAAGTAATAATGAAACACAATTACTTCTCAAGATTACATTAAAAGACATCAACAACTGGCTTAATGGGTCAATCAGCAGTAACCATGCAGAAGTAATTTATTTATTAACTCTCTCTGCTAACACACAAGTATGAACCAAGTTCACCCCTTCTTCTCTTCTCGTACATGGTTGGTTTCTCATGGGACTGTATACCCTGAAAAAGTGCACAAATTTTGTACTAGTTAGCCTCAATATATATTGGAATGATTAAGGCCACAAACATTCTCATCCCCACTCTTCAGCTAGCCCCAAACATGGCATGATGAATTTATTAAAATCCAAGTAACACAAAGACCAAAAGAGGGGTTACTTACTTCCACATTTTTTCCCAGCTTGTCTGTTCTTGATGTTGCATCGTTTGGGAATGCCAATGGCAATTCCAGGTTTGATTCCCGCCTGCTTAGCCAATGGTGACAACAAAATAGCACAAAGGCACCTTGGAGAAGTCTTGAGTAAGGCACCAACCTTGGAGCAGCAAGCAGGTGTAACTTTTGCCTTTGCATTCCCAGCCGCACCTAAGCATGGGCTTAAGCTTGCAGCAGCAGAACTAATTGGGGTCTTCCCACACTCTCCAGCTCCTTCAACATCCTTAATGAACACCATGGAACTTATATAAAACACAAACAAAGCAACAGGGAAATAAGGTTTCAAGCTGAAAGCCATCCCTGCTGCAAATTCACACTTTTCAATACTGAATATGCTGACAATTGAAACAATGGATACATATATACAGGCATTGCAACATATATTAAATGAAAAAAAAAAATGATTGTGGGCTGGTTGGATTTGAGCTTAGTGGGGCGGTTGGGGGAAACGTGGAAGACTTTTGTGGTTTCTTTTTCTTCTTCTTCTTCCCCAGTTTATTCAAGATGTAATGATTTTGAACCATATTTGAATGTTCCCACTAAAAGGATTGCTACATTCACAGATTTTGGTTCATAAATAGAATGCTCTTTCCATCGTCATTTTCTGGCATGTTCGCTTCTTTATATTACCTTGTGGTAGGTGGCATGAAAAATTAGTGTGAACATTCAGACTTTTGAGTATCGAAAATTTCGTTTAGTTAACTTTTTGGCATACTTGGACACATTCAATAATTTGCTCCACTATCATCTATAGATTAGATGTATCAAGTATGTTGCAAATAAAGGAATGTATACATGGCATAGATTTATTAATTATGAATTAAAGATTAATAAATGAGATTGGCATTCACAATGCTGGTAGTACCCCAAGTTAATATATATATATATATATTTATATTTATATATATTTACAACATAATTTAGGGATACGAAAAAATAGGGATATTAAAATTTAAATCACAAAATTAGGGAATATCACTTTCAAAAATAATTGTATAAAATAACTAAAATAAACCTCGGGTTGAATATAATTCATTGATCAACATGAACAATTGAAACCTTTAAAGTGGCAGAGAGTTAACGATGTTTATTGGTCATTTCAGTTCAACTGAAGTGGTGATGTAAGCATGGTGTAACATATAATAAAGGATTATATTAAATTCAATTTTCTCTTTTTTTTTTTATGATATTTTAGTAGCTATTAAAAATAAAGTGTGTGGTATGTTGTGGTGACAATGTCACTCCTCTCACATATACGTCACTCTTAAACAACAATGAGATATAAATGTAGAGATAAAGATGCAGGTGATGAAATTTAAATTTTATATAAATGTATAAACTAATTAAATTAAATTTTATGTTTATTATTTTTTTCCTACATTACTTTATTCTTGTAATCTTTCACTTTATGACAGAATTAAAAATGTTTTGCTGTTAATAAGAAGTAATGATGAGCTGTGATAAGCCTGTGCTATTTAGAACTAATAATTGAAGGAAAATGTTATGATACTTGAATCTCAAAATTTTTTAATTATCTCTTGGGATATTTTTATATGCTAAGATGTGTACTTGTGCTCACCAATTGACCAAGTCTATGACTTGCATCTCCCCATAAAAAGTACCAAGCTAAGCAATGCAAAGAAGAGGGAGCAAGAAGAGAAGATAAATCATAAACTTGGCTTTTCAGCTCAGGATGCTTGTGGTGGCATTTGATATAAAATAATGTAGTTTTGGATTGGCTAAAACACTAAAAATAAAAAAGCCCCTAGACTATTTTATTTTTCTTAAATAAGTCTTTATATTTTTATTGTACCTAAATAAATCCTTAAATTTTAATTTATATCCATATAAACATTTACTTTAAACGAAAGATTGGTTTATGTTAAGAGCTTATTTATTTATAAATTAAAAATTAAGGGTTTTTTTTATACAAATTAAAGGTTAAGGCCTTATTTGAATTTAAATTAAAGGTTAAAAATTTCTTTGAAAATAATAAAAATATATGAATTTATCTAAATAAAGTGATAAAGTTCAAGAATTTTTTTATTATTTAAGACGTTTGGATTCTATCGAATTTATGTGTTGGAAAGTTCAAGAGCTGGATGGTTGCATTGATGCTAATCCTCTACTATAGTATTGGTATGATATTCAATGTCCTACATTTTTTGGGGGGGTTTACTTATTTGCTAAGAGTTTTTGTTTACATGATGTTCATTGTTAAACATTCATATATAATCTCCTTTGGTGGTTTTTGGTGGGAGGATAAACAAGAGTATGAGCTTTCTTTATATGATTAACTGTGTCTGATCTTTTAATTTGGGGTTATATGCATTTACCGCACATTTTGTGGGGGTTTATCTTATCTCCCCTATGTGGCGTTGTGAGTTTTTGATGTCGGATTGACAGTTCCAATTTTAATGGTGGTCATTACTAAGTTCTAGGTTTTTCAACTTTGTAAGCGAGGCAGTTATTCTTGTTAAATGTGTATCAAAGATGCAGAAGATCCACCATTCCACTCTACCTCAGATCCCATGCTTAAGAAAGAAGAAGACTATGGTTACTCCAATTTATACTATATTGCACTACCTTATATTTTTAGATTGCATGTTTTCTCCTTTCATCTTTATGTAATTTTCTCTGTTTTTATTCTTGGTCTGCTGTATTAGCATTGGCAGCTCCCTGTGTACTGTGTAGCAGGCTAGCAGGATTGTCTGCATTATTTTGATGGATGATATACAGAAAAAGGGAACATTTTTTTTTTAAAAAAAGTAAGCCATCAATTGCATAATTTCTTAAATCAGATTCATTGTATTGAAGTCAAACCTCTCACTGAGGTTCAGAATTACAAAACAAAACAATAGATTACATTAGTAGTTTAGCTTAAAGGGACTCAATGGTAGTCATTAGCCACTTGGCTCAAATGCTGAAGCTTGAAAAATAATGGGGGAAAAACAAGGCAAAGCAAAAAACAAAAATAAAAAAGTTGGGATGAAAATTGTGTGTATGGGTGTTATAATAAGTTCTAACAAATTTGGGTTTGGTTAATTTTTCTGTCACTGACATATTTCTTCCAGTAAGCAGTGATTTCCCTCTGGGTCTCAAGGGCAGTCTTCTTAACTGTGCCATTTTTGCCATTCTCTTCTACAGCCACAGCCAGTTTGGCATTGACCTTTGCAGGGAGCGTATCCAGCTCATGGAGCACCTTTTGGATGTCAAGCACAAGGCGCTCAGCTAAGGTGCGGGAGAAGTCTTCCCTGATGACAACACGGAGCACAGTGATATGCTGAGCATCTGCTGGCATGGTGTAGGCAGGCACAATCCAACCATACCGGCGCAACATCTCAGATATCTCGAACTCATCATGGCGCTTGTTGTCCTTGAGAGAAAAGGCCACCAGAGGAACCCCATTGTCCTTTGACACAATGTTAAAGCGCCCTGTTTTCTCCAATCCTTCTTTCAGGACCATAGCGTTTTCATGACAGTTCTCCATGACATTTCTGTATCCCTGTAGTTAAAACATCATTGCATCACATTAATGGGTATGTTGAAAGTAACACATACTGAATTGAATTGGGTTAAATAGATTTTATATTGGAAATGATCGTTCTTATACTTAAAAGCCATAACTAGGTTCTCACCTCACATCCCAAACGGATTAGTTGGTAGTACTGAGCAATAACTTGGCTAGAACCTGCAGACAACAAATACACAAGTTTATTGTTGGTTTTGCTATATATTGTAAATGGGGAAAAAAGTGTCGACAGTTTGAGAATCAAGGAAATTGGATTGGAATATTCACCTTTGGAGAAATTGAGAGTGAAAGTGGGTTGATCAGCTCCAAGGTAGTTGATGTGAAAAATAAGTTCTTCAGGCAAGTCTTCCTTGCTCCTCCAGATAACCCAACCAATGCCAGCATAGACAAGACCATATTTATGGCCACTAACATTAATGCTCTTCACGAGGGGAAGCCTGAAGTCCCACTCAAGTTCTGGGTACAAGAATGGTGCAATAAACCCACCACTAGCTGCATCAACATGAATTGGGGTATCCCATCTGCAGAAAAGATAAGTGGAGATATATTAAATTTAGCACTTGATATTTCAAATTATTGAAGTTTATGTTACTTCAAAATCGATATGTACCCACCCAGTTTCCTTGTTCTTTTCTACCAAGAGATCATTTAGAAGCTTGACATCTTCAAATTCTCCATTGAGGGTGGAACCCAATATAGCAGCTACACAGATGGTGTTTTCATCTACCATTTCCACAGCTTGGGCAGGGTCCATCACATAGTATCCTTCCCTCAGCTTCACTTCCTTCAATTCTACTTCAAAGTACCTTGCAAATTTCTCCCAGCACACCTGAACATTGGCTCCAGTCACGATATTGGGTTTGTCATAGGGTTTGCCTTCAGCCTTACGCTTGTTTTGCCACTTTCTCTTGAAAGCAAGGCCAGCCAACATGATTGCCTCGGATGACCCAACTGTTCCCACTCCAACAGCGGCCTCGGAGTCTCCAAGTGGTGCATTGAAGAGATGTGCTATCATGTTCACACAACGGTTCTACATCAAAAGTACACTTTCACCGTTTAGTAAACTGAATTTTTTATCAGGAGTATGTTTCATTTATAAATTATAACGGTAAAACTTATTAATTCTGTTCCCAGAATTATTTTGGTTCATTACAACTGGATTTACACTGCGACCAAAAAGGCAAAGACCATTCAAGTGCTGCTTCATTTTTTCTTGATATATTGCGGAAAAAACCAAAACTTGTTTTGGGTCTTTGTTGTTGTTTGTAATACAAATTGAATTCCAAGTACTTACAAGAAAAGCTGAAAGAAATTTGCTAAAAACAAGGGGGGAAATGAAAAGATGAAGAAGAAGAGAGACATATACCTGAAGCTCAGTGGTGACAGGGTACTCATCCATGTCAACGTAGTTCTTGTTAATGGCATCCATTATAAGCTTATCACATTCAGGCTCCATCCAGGTAGTAACAAAAGAGGCAAGGTTCAACCTTGGGTTCCCATCAAGCATCAGCTCATCGTTGATGATCTGATATGCAGCCTCTTTTGGTATTGAGTTCTCTGGCATCTTGAACCTGCAATATTTTCCATACAAATCAGCCAAACTTTTCACCATGAAATCAATGACCTTTTAAAGTGCCATATATTATGCTATGCATCCATGGATTCAAAGTTGGATATCATGGGATTAATTACCTGGGAAGTGAGTTTCGGACATATCGAGAGGCAAAAGTAGAGTGAATTGAGACATCAGTTTGAGAAGCTATCTTAGATAGCACCATGTTTGATGTCTTAAGAAATTAAAACACGAAAAAAATAAATGAAATGTACTTCAAAAAATAACAGAGAGATCAAAGAAGCTTGTGTAAAGCTAAAGCTGTTGTTGCTTGGTGAAGGAGGCATTGAGAGGCAAATGATATTTATAGGGATGTCTAAGCATCGCGGAATCAGTATGCAAAGACTCTGTCCCATTTGGCCATTTCTCCAAAACAGAAAGCAGCATTTTCACAATTTTGACCCTGTTAAGTTTTCAATTATTGGTCACAAAGAAAAGAAGTTCGGAATTTGACGAATGACAAAAATACCCTTTTGGGTA